TCTCTCTCTCTCTCATTCAGCTCAGCTCCAACAATGAACTGTTCCAATTATACACTTATTTTCAGATTTCAGCTTTAATCAGTTTAAAACCATATATTAAAAGCTAACAGAAGCAGTAGCATTTACAAATAACAGCGTATCTAAAAGTATGAGACAACAACAAACAAAAAACATAGGCCTACCATTAAAAGCCGTGCTTGCACAGGTTCTGCACGATCCTCTTCAATAATATCCTCTGCTTCTCAATCAGGCTCAAACTGATAAGCAATATTATATTAACGATGCTGTTGTTTACAATACAACCGGAGCACATGCCGCTGAGGAGAGGGGCAGGACGTTTAGACACGCACTAGAGGCGGTTTAGCCAATCATAACACACTGGGCTAGCTAACCAATCAGAGCCCATCGCCTATTTCTGAGGGAGGGGCTTCATAAAAGAAGGAAATGATCAGGGTGTTTCTCACAGAAGGGACAGAGCTGTGTGGAATAACTAAATTATGTGAAAAATAATGCAAATTTTTTTTTTAAAACGAAGCATTGACACATGTTAGACTGCACTCCATAAACACAATCAAACCTAGAAAAAAAACAGTGAACCACCCCTTTAATTCAAATGAATGCTGAACTTTATATCCATTAAAGGGGTCATATGATGCAATTTCATTTTTTCCTTTCTTTTTGGCTTGGGAAAAAATATCTGCAATAAGCAGCTCAACTGTTTTCAAAACAGATAATAATCAGAAATGTTTCTTGAGCACCAAATCAGCATTTTAGAATGATTTCTGAAGGATCATGTGACACTGAAGACTGGAGTAATGCCTGCTGAACACTTTAAAAATATACTAAAACAGAAGACTTTCTTTTTTAAAATGTATATATTACTGTTTTTTTACTGTATTTTTGATCAAATAAATGAAACTCTGGTGAGTATAAAAAACAAAACAAAACAAATAAATAAAAGAAAGAATTTAAAATCTCAAAACACCCCAAACATTTGAACAGTTTTATTCAGTGTATATAAATATACTTTTTCATGTTTTTATTTAACATATTTGACAAACAAACAAATAAATAAATAATATTAGAAAAAAATATTTAACCACCACACAAAAGATGTCTACACAAAGCAAAATATACTGTGGCATTACGTGAACACACACTTGATTATTAATTTTTGACCACAATCCAAACTCAAAACAAGCTAAGAATAGAACAGATGACTGGGGGGAAAAGTTAGCAAAAAGAACATAACATCTTTTCTTATTAAGTAAATGTTTCTTGAATTTCAATACACAGAGAATCACAATATTATGAAGAGAATGATAGTGTGAAGAGCTGTGATTTAAAAGAGTGGAAACTGTACATAAGCTAAAACATAAATATGTTTTGATTTGTTAAAAGTACATTTCCATTTGTGTTACTCCAAAGTTTAAAAAAAAACATTGTTTTGAGTAAAATAAAAATTAATCCGCTAATTTTGTAGTCATTGCCTCTTAACTAACCTCTTAAAGATTTATCCAGAATAATTGCTAATAATTATTGCTCATTCCGCTAGTAATTGCTCGAAGTGTTTCTGCTTGTACTACTCGCAGTGGCCTGCTTTGAACTGCCTTTGAGAGTCATTGTAAAAGGTGTTGTTTTGTTGGTGGTCTGAGAAAAGCTCTCTATAAATAGCAGGCAGGCAGTTCAGTACAGAGTGCTCAAATAAAGAGGGCAAAGGACATGCTACAGTGAAGGAAAATACAGCAAGTTTCTTCTAATTAAGAGAATGAAATGTGGCTTCAGTGCATGAGAGTTGCTAGATGAATGAGCTCTTTGTGAGCGTAGCAGAGGTGGGAGGGGGGGCAGCCTTGTCTAAGACCGAGACCACATGTTCTCACTGGTCGCCTTGTTATTCACATCAAACCCTCATCTGCTCTCATGTAGGGGGAGAGATTTATGTGCTTGACCGCCACTGGAGGGCGCAATTCTCTGCCAAAGCAGCTTAATCCTGACTTGCTTTTAAACAGCTTCTTCAGCAGGTGTCACCAATGAGTGTCATTCAAGTTATAACACACACACACACACACACACACACACACACACGTCTGGTCAGCTATCCTTGTGGGGACTCTCCATAGGCGTAATGGTTTTTATACTGTACAGACCGTATATTCTATTGCCCTACACCAACCCTACCCCTAAACCTACCCCTCACAGGAAACTTTCTGCATTTTTAGATTTTCAAAAAACTTCATTCTGTATGATTTATAAGCTTTTGTACCCGTGGGGACCACAATTTAGGTCCCCACCGTGACACGAGTCCCCATGAGTCTGTGTGTAGTCAGGTTTAAGTCCCCACCAGGATATATAAACCAGTACACACACACACAATGCAGCCAAACATTCTTTGTGGGAAGGTTCATTGCCCTTATGTGCCTTTTAACTGGTAACTACTACCATGTTCTTGTATGAAAAACAGTCCTGCACTTTTGCAGTTTAATTCATCTTACCTGTTCAAGAACGGGTCAGAGCTGTTGGTGGTCATGTTACGGGCGTCTTGTCCCATGCCGGGTGAGGACACAGGGTTTTGAGTGCCGCCATCCTGCTCCATGCTGGTCGGCAGCTGGTTTCTCAGGGCGAGCTCCTGTACACACAAACAAAAGGAGTATGTGTCAAAGTGTGAAATTCATTGGTTTTCAGGAACGGAAACTTAACGCAAGACGAAATTAATGATTTTCTTTGGAATCAGTAGAGAAATGAGAGTGGATACATTTTTTTCTACTGAAGAAAAAAGGACAGAACAAACTATACTGGTTTTACTTTCAAACTATGTACACGTATGTGAAAACAGTGAGTGAGGTATGGGAAAGGAAAAAAAACAAAAACAACGAACTTAACCTGCAAGTTTTACTTATTTTCCTGTATCACCCTCTTGAGTAAAATGAAAGCCTTTCCCATCCAACATGTCATAAGTTACAAATCTGGTTATCATTTGTCAACGGATTGAGCAAGATTGTCTGTCAACATCCTTGATTATTTTACTGCCTCAGCTCAAACTGGTGGTTTGCAGAGAGTCACGCGAAAGTGTGGGTTTATTGCACATCATTTAGGGTACGGCAGAAGGGTCAGATCTTAGTTTTTTTATTACAGACTTCCTATGACTAATTGAAACTTAAATACGGTCACAACTTTCGCTGATTAAAGGACAACTCAACAGGCCGTCACCACAGAAAAGTCACCTCAACAAGTCAACATGACATCAACACTGACCCTATTGACTTTCTTAAAGCACTTTAGTCATCTTGTTGCAAATGATTCATTTAATCACATTATTTAAAAGAAAAAAATGCCCTTCTGTTTTGACTGACATCTTTAAATGTAGTTTTTATTAATTGTATTTTATTTTTATTAGTTTTTACAGTTAATTTTGATTTGTTTATTTTAGTTGAGTTTTAAATGTATTTAGTTTTTTTTTTTAATATTAGTTTTAATATTTTTGAGCTGCCAGAGTTAGTGTGCTAACTGAAATCATTTAAAATATTGTTTATAAAATTGTAAACAATTACAATGCATTCTGACAATGAATTTGTGGCAATTTTTATTGTCATTTTTAATTAGTTTTTTTTTTAGTTTTTAGCCAACTTTTATTTCACTAAGATCGGTGCCAAGCCTTGCACTACATTTTATGTGGATGAATATGTTTTTAGTAGGAAATATGTAATAATATTAAAATAGAATGTGAATGCAATTTTTTGATTGAGTGATTCATTACAGGATTTCCAGCCACCACATCAATGCCTTAAAGTGTATTTGAAGGCCTATCTTTATTGGTCTTTTAAGTGAGCTGCTTCTAGCTAGAGCCGGTAATATCATCCCTGAAGATCTCGGTTTATTTAGTTTTCCAGCAGGGGGGTCTGCAGCACTGAGTCAACACCGTGTTTACATTCCAAAGCAGGGGCAGCTGAACAAAACCTCCTCCACCTCTTCATCTGCCCCCTCATCTTGCAACCTCTCATTTAATAGCTCACAAAACATACACAGCAAGTATCTCTACGTCAGATTTACCCACTCTACACATCATGTACTGAGAAACAAAGTGCGACAAGTGGCTTTACATGTTTGTCAGATGCATCAATAAGCTGCAAGGTGGACCAGACCTTGTGCCAATAATCTTTCAGAACAACCTGTACAGTTAAACGACACGGTACATTACAAACAAAAATAAGCAACAGGAACGGCGAGTACACGAGGCACAGATCAGGGCCATTTCTGCAGCAGAAGACTGTGTGCCCGTCTAGCATGCGAGGACAGAATGATCTGACAGGTGTGTGTCTGACCTGCGGTCTCTGGCGAAGGAGCTCTTGTTTGATCCTCAGTCTCTCTTTCTCCATCTGGATCTGCTGCAGCCTGATCTGGTTGTTTCCACCCAGCACTCCGCTCTGTGGGCTGGAGGGCAACTGGGAGCCTTGCTTCACTGGAGCACTCTGGGAAATTCGCTGCTGGTTCATAGCTGAGGACACAATATTAATTACATTAGGATGTTTCATTCGCTCTGATAAAAAGTAAACATTAATTATTTTATATAGATTATTTTTAAAAATCAAATATTCTCACACTAGAAATTGTAGTCCCACACATGTAAATAAAACGTAATATTTGTCATGGCATTACAGTGTTACTATATTGTGTATATAAGCACTACGAAAATGCCATGTTAATCAGCACCCAGAATGTTACATATCATTTGTATGTGTGTGTATGAATAACTACATATTTAGATTTACATCTACATATTTACAATTTCCATATTTAGACCTATAACTGTGAATGTGTGTGTGTGTGTATAGAGAGAGATTTGTATGCATGTGTGTATATATATATATATATATATATATATATATATATAATAACAAAAATACCAGAATTGTTTACTTGATCGCAGATTCTACGTGACCTAAAAAGTCTTGGCATCCATCTAAAACGCTCTATGACCAGAGGCTTATTAAAACATGGATAAATAAATCAACTCATCAACTTACAGTTTAAGGCTCGTCGCCTTCCACTGTTAATTGACCCTTTGCCAGGAGTTTGATTCACAGGCGATCTGACCAATCATAACACTGAATCTGCCATTTTCTCTGACAAACAACCCACACAGAAGAGATTTACATTAGTGGACCTGAACTTGAAAATGGTGTGTATTGATGTGTCTTTCCGCAATTGAAACAAGATACTTTCTGATGTCCATTCATTTAGTACACACACATATATATATATATATATATAAAAATTAAATAAATGCCTAAAATTCAATCTCCAGTCAAAAATAACCATTCATAAAATCTGTCACTAAAGGGGGGAGTAGCATTAGCCATGTACAAGATACAGGGTATAAAAAGGCCTATCAATGCAAGTGAATGGAGCAATGCGTATTGCCACAGACGCAAACACAGAAACAAATGTTTTGGACCATAGGAGGTGGAGTGTAACAGTAATTGGACCAATGAAAATTGCTGTTTACTTATGCACTGGGGCCACCAGTGACAACAAAGCTGTGATGGAGCTGGCGTTGTCATGCGCGAGGGAGCCCCGTCTTCCCCGCTTATCCTCATCACCATTCAATCAGAGTGTGTTTACACTACCTCAGACCTGAATGAGTCTCCGCTCTCCTCTCACCATGGGAATCAGATCAGAGACTCACCACGCCTCACACACTGCAACCACCTTCCCCCACACTGGCCGAGGCGTGGAAGAGTGTGGGAATGTATATGGGAGCTATTGGGGGAGTGTGTGTGTATATGTGTGTGCTTGTTTCTCTTTAAAGACTCTTATCTCGCATAGATAGGGGTCTACTGAAGCCGAATGACGACTCTGGTGGAGGAGTAATGGCTGATCTCAGGGCAGGAGTGAGCAGTTAATACAGGCTGATATCTTGCAGCCAGATTTGTTGCGTCTGTGAACGGGAACACAACAAAAAAACTCTTGATTCTCAGATCTGGATTTCCCTGACTAGTCTGTACTTGACTGCTGTGGAGTTTCTGTGGGTATCTCACTTGGGAAACTCCACACCACAGCATGGAGATGACAAGAACACACAAACAAGTCTTATCCATGTGGCGGAATGACTCAGTGTTGCATAAGTGCAGCAGAACTGCAGGTTCGTGCCACGGACGTGTTCTCCTATGAGCCAGCAGGAGGAGGAGGAAACGTGCCAGAGGGACACAAATAAAAAGAGAGTGAGAGAGATAAAAGCTCAGATTGACGTAGTTTGCCCGTCTTCTCCACGCTAGCTCGGGAACACGACCATCCAGTAATAACAGTCTTTATCAGGACATCTCACAAAGCCGCCAGCCAATAGCAGCTCCCCTGTCCTCCTTTGCAGGTGAGACCGAAGTGGTGTTGGGAAACGTCAGGAAACGCAGCACCAGGACCTTTGAAGCCTTTGCTGGCTGTCGATTTAACAGGTTTATTGTATAAAAGTAGTGCTCAAGTTGCGTTTCCAGTTAAGAGATAAGCGCATAAAGCAGAGGAGACAGGGAAAGAGTCAATCTGTGTCCAGAAGAAAAGCCTCTCTATATCCTATCAAACAAAAACCTCAGCGGGCCACACAAAAGCAAGCTGTGAGCTGCCGGAAGCCAGCATGAGGAAATTCAGCTGTGACTAGCATGTAGTAGGAAACCAGTTGAAAGCAAGATGGAAGCCGTATCACTTACAAGAGGAAACAGCAGGTGGTATATGTATACATTAAGACTTGGAGACATTCACAGTTATTATTAGAGATTACTGCAGTGAGAAATGCAAATGTGTTTCCGTTATCCACACTAAGCTACTCAAGTAATACAAATAATTGAGCAAATAACTGAGTCAGACTGTCATTAAAGTGCTTTATAGTAGGCTCTTGGCTTTTTCTTTATACACACAGTGTTCTTCCAATGCGCACACCTGATTTAACCACAAATATCTGATCATTTATCCAATTATTTCACTAGATTACACCTGAAATCTCCTCCAAAAAGAGTCCTTTGATCACACAGAGACACATTTGAACAAAATCTGTGTTCATGCCATGTCGGAATTACCATAATTACATTTTTCCTTTTTGTAAAAACCATTCACTTCCCTGTAGAACTCATAATTACAACTTGTGAACTCAATTTTCTGAGAGGTCCAACTTGCACCACCTGATCACGTCAATGTCATGCAGAAACACTTAAAATGGCAGGGGCTTCAGCAGTTCTGGTAAATAAATCCTATAATTCGCTATTGTTAATTCCTTAATGCAAGAGTAATCTAAAAATAAATGAAAGACAAACAATAGAGTTTTGCATTTAGCACAGAGTCAAACAACTATCAAATGGGACCCTGGACCACAAAACCAGTCATAAGGGTAAATTTTTCGAAATTTTACTATTAAATACATCATCAAAGCTGAATAAATAAGCTTTCCATTGATGTATGGTTTGTTAGGATAGGACAATATTTGGCCGAGATACAACTATTTGAAAATCTGGAATCTGAGGGTGCAAAAAAAAAAATCTAAATATTGAGAAAATCGCCTTTAAAGTCCAAATGAAGTTCTTAGCAATGCATATTACTAATCAAAAATTAAGTTTTAATATATTTACAGTAGGAAATGTACAAACTACCTTCATGTAACATGATCTTTACTTAATATCCTAATGGTTTTTGGCATAAAAGAAAAATCAATAATTTTGACCCATACAATGTATTTTTGGCTATTGCTACAAATATACCCCAGCGACTTAAGACTGGTTTTGTGGTCCAGGGTCACAAATGTCCCGCTAAAACTACATTTATTAATAATGCATTTGCATAACGACTGTTACTTCTTGAATTGTGGTTTTGATTACTCAAATTACACATGCATTTAGCTGTTAATCGTATTTACCAAGAAGCGCACAGTTCTGAGTCTGAGGATGTGAACAGCTTGAGTAGAACGTCCCGTGATTACGACATGGTATGAATGCAGCAAAAGGTGTACATGTAAAATTTGAATTATTATTATTTTTTTTATAAATTAAGTAAATCCAGATATGAATGAATGTTAATGCCAGGTGTAAAGGGGGCATTAGGCACTTGGTAGTGGCCTATTTCGACTTGTGCTAGTAAGCAACCACCCAAAACATGCTAGCACCCACCTAGCAACACAGAACACCCCCAGCAACTCAACCTTAGCAGTGCGAACAGTAAGGGGAAGCACCACTAACATTTACTTCAGAAATCAAACTCTATGAATGCACTGATAAACTCTGTCACCTTTGAATGTGAACCACTGATGTCACATTCATCATCCTGTTTCCCAATAAGGCGAGTGCCTTGGGAATCGTGAAGTGTTTATGCAATCGTTCATGAGTTTGTGTGTCAGCTCAAAGCTCTGGAAAAGATGAGTGCTTTACAAGAGCATGACTTCCCTCTGCACTTGCCAACAAGGTGCCAACTCCTGCACTGAAGTACTATGATAATCCAAGCAGCCTGCAGCACACGGCAGATAACTGAAGGTTCCAGTTGGCCTTTGTGCTCAAAAACTACACCACAACAAAAAAAGATGGAGTTTGTGTGATTGTTTTTGAGTCTAAGGGCCAGATGAAGTGTGAAATACATCATAAAGTCATGTGGTGGACTCTCAGACCAGACCTCACGGCCTGTTCACAACCTCTTAGGAAAGAGGCACAAGTTTATCCTGTGGGCTTTCTTCCTTTTTCTCCTATTCCTCCCTTTCTTTTCCCTTTCCCTTCCCCCTCTGTGGCCCTGCCTCCGCCTGCCCCCTTCCTCTTTCTCTCTCACATTGGGTCTCTTTGACTGAAAAGGTCTGGAACAGATTAAGAGCAGAGCTGCAGCATCAAGAGGCCTGGCACCGACTCAAGTCCGTCTAGATGTGCAGCTGAGAACAGTTCTGCCTGCGCTGGGCCTCACGCGGGGTGGGAAGGGGGGCGAGACAGAAAGAGAGAATGGCCAGACTTCAGTTCTCTGTTAAAGGAGTACAATCCTATTCTACTCCCTGCTCAAATTACCCATGTGTCTCCAATGGGTGAGCGGAGACCCAGACGGGACAACATGTCAGGTTAGCAACATATTTAATCATTTGTTTGGGATTCGACAGGTGCAAGGAGGAGTTAACGTTCTTCTAACTCATAGAAGTGTTTCTGAAGTTGGTGAGAAAAAGTTCCTCCAAATGTCAGCAGTTCATCGACCTCAATGACAGGAGCTGAGGGATAAAAACACAAACACAAAGGTCATAATAAAATGCCGGCATAAGCAGTTACATAAAACCGCATTGGAACGCCCCAACTTTCTCAACTTGCCGGCAAGGAATGAGTTAACTGCGTCTACCCCTCTTGCAGTTCTCCCCCTCACATTACGTCTGTAATTCAGGGGCCCACCAGCCTTGTCCGCTGAACACTTATAAATCTTCAAAGGGCTTCACCCACCAGCGCCGACCCCCCTCCCTTTTTGTCTTTCGTTCTTTCTCTCTCCCTCGCTCTCCTGCCTGACCCAGCCCTTCACAGACTGTTTACCACTTGTGTGTTAGGTGTATGGAAACCTGTTTTGTAGCTGAGGATTTTGGTCAAAAATGGGGCAAAACATGCCTGTTCATACATGAAGGAGATAGTGAGATAGTGTCCCTAGGGAAAACTCCTTTGGGATGAAGGGAAAGCACCTCAAGCGAGAGTAACTCAAAGTGACATAAGTAGAAGCCTTCATCTCTTTGTGAGCCTTATGTGCTCATAGAAAAAGATTAAAGAGAGGGACTGAAAGGGGTAGAAAAAAAAAGGACAACCATCTCAGTCTGACAACCTTTCGGTGAACCATTTATCTTGACAGCAAAAAACAGATGATTAGATTAACGTGACAATTCCACTTGCTTAGATAAGTTTAATTGTCTCTGTGTATGGATTATGGATGCATATCTGAACAAGGGGTTTAGGGAACGGCATAATCAGATGCAGTTTGAGCTAGATTGTGAGTGTGTGCGTGAGTACAGGGATCACATAGAGTCCTGAGTGTGCAGCAGTTTTGGCTAACCTCAGTATGAGTCACAGGAAGCAGGAATACTCTCTGAATAGTGTGTGCCACAAAAGCACATACACACTCACTCACACACATAGCGCAGAGAATAGCCATCTACACTCGGTTTGTAATCAGCATCATGATTAAGCAATAAGAGACAGTTACAGTTATTTTATCACAGTGGAACTGTGTTCTTAGGACTTTGAGTGCCTTACAGCCCCTTAACAGAGACCACTGCAATGATGGGCCTTAGGTAAAGTGATGCACCGAAATTCATTTTTTACAGAAACACCAAACACTGAAATTAAAGTCCTCATTGAGCCAAAAACCGAAATCAAAAATAACATTCATGTAATTCAATTTGGAGACTGAACTCGGTACGCAGTTTAGGGTATTTTGTTCACAGGTGATAAACCAGTCGTATTAAAGCAACGAGTCGCCTCTTGATACTTTAGCTGAAATAGTTTTTTTACATACTTCTACTCTAGTATCAATTTTGGTCATAGTGAAGGGCGTCCCATGCAGACATGTTTAATTGTTGTTAGCTTATCCACACTCACGATGTTTAAAATGCATCAACGATGAAGCGTTAATGGTTTCCATCAATGAAACTGAATTTGCGGTTTCAGATGAAAATTTTAGTGCATCACTACTCGGGTGGCTTATTTATTTATTGTTTTATAAATTGTGGCAACACTGTTATGCTAAGAGACCAAAGTTCAATCAAAATTAATTTATTGTGATATTATTTTTATTACGATGAACTTTTATGACTTTAAGCTCACCATAACGCGGGTCAAGTCGTGGGTCCAGCCAAGAGGTGGTTTTGTTCTTGTGATTGATATAGTAGATCTCTCCTTCTGAGGTAATAGCTTGCTCCCAACCATCAGGAACAGGACCTGAGAGAGAACAGTCAGTGTACAGTAAATTATCCATTACTAACTGAAATTCAAATTTTAGTAATCTTTGGCCATAATCCACACATTTTTTTCATCCCGCATTTTCACGAGGTTGTGAAAGGTACGAGGTTGCGCAGGGCCGGTTTCTTCATTACGGCGATAGGGTCACAAAGATTTTTTTTTCGAACTGCAGGCACTGCAATGCAATCTCTATCGGTGCATCCGAAATTGCGTACTGTCTGAGTAGGTACTACATTTGAATTTACTTCATGACTGTTAAAAAAGTACGTTCTATAGAGTATGAATATGAGTAGAAAGAATGAAATTTGGCCGCACTACATCCGCCATGTTGTTACGGTCACGTGACCTACCAGCATCAGTTGCATCGCTTCACTGCCATTAATAAATCCTCTCCCGTGGCCTCGTGGGATAGTAAAGTGTCCATCGAATGCGCACTTCAGAATCCGGGCAGCATATGAGTTCTGGGAGGGCTAGCACTAACGTGCTTTCGTCATCATAAGCAAACTTAACTTGTGCAACGATTGGTGGGAACAAACATACCTCTATTATTAATTATCTTTAAGCTGAAGTCAGGACTTGTCTGTATGGCCTGAATAAAGCAAACCAGTATCTTATCAGTAAAGTCTTGATGGATGACGATTGTAATGGAGGTAAAGACGATTACAGTGACATGCAGGAGTTGTACATTATTAGACACACGTGAGTCCGTTATTATTAGTGTGCAAATAAACAAACCGTGTATGTGCGTTCTCGGATTGCTTTTTGCACGAGCACATTTCAGTATGGTCGCATGTCTGGTAAGTGTTTTATAATGGACACTCGCTGAAGAAGCGTGTTTTTATAGGAGTTTGCTGCGGTCAGTGGTGTTAATATACATATGGGCATCAGCACTCACTCTGACAGAGGAACTGTTCACTCCTCATGTTGAGCTGCCTTCAGATTGCCACATTCGACAAATTCAGAATGTTTTTATTTTCCTTTTCTTTTTTTATTTATGTTTTGCTCCGTTTAACAATTCTGAATGGATCGGTATATATTTATATACAGTCAGGTTAAGGCGACTGGTATAGTGGTCTGTTGGCATCTCCGTGTGTTCCTGTTTGGTATTGTAGCTTGAATTGTAGTTATAGAAAATGCTCTAAACAAATGTGAACAAATGTTTTTTCCTCAGTTATCATAAATGTTTTTTCCTCCATATACATAAATTGTGAATTATGAAAATTAAAGAATGTTTTAATTCAACTTGAAAAATCCTCGCAGAAAATATATTTTTGTGAGAATCATCCTCAAACTTAATCTTGAACTTTACTAACGGGATGTATGCTAAAATTGTTGGACGTGGCGCCCTACCTAGAAAATTTTCCACCAGCCGTCACTGGTTGATGGTATATACCTTTGTTGAGTACTGTTCAGTCTGCATTATTTCAACTACTTGTTTTAAATCATTGAATTTAAATGAATACAATCCCCATAATTTTGGAAAGAAATCTCCACCAATCACAGGATCATGGAAAGCAAAGTGATTTTTAAATACTCTTTTGCTTTGATTCAAAGTTTGTAATGTTGTGATTCACCTCGTGGCTGGTTTAAAACTATTTAACAAGACTTTTTAAAAATTCCGATTGAAAAAATAAATAGGAAACATTCTTCCGAAGGCCTCTTGAAAAAAGTGGGCAGAAACTGTTGCACTCTATAGTTTCCAGGACCAAACAACTTTGCAAAGAATGACATTAAAGTCTGTGGGGAACACCTTAAAACACTGAACAGGACCAGTCTTGTCTGAGTTCCTGTTGAACCTTACATAGTCTGGACACCCAGGACACTATTGTCACTCCAACCAGACATGTCTACCTAATCATCAACTGCCATTCACATGCATTCACTTGCATTCGTCTACCCTGATAAGGTTTTTGCTTTTGCTGAGGTAGAGGCGGGTTTAGGTGGGATGTAAACAGAGACTGCTACACCCGTAGGATTACCATAAGAATGCTGGGACTGGGAGTGTAGTTTTTAATATGAAATGAGTGTCTGGAGCGGCTGACCTGAGGCAGGGTTCATGATGTTCTGCTGCTGCATAGGCACTGGGCTGGCCGGGGCGGCCTGGTTCATCTGAAGGAGGGCCTTACGTGGATCCTGCCAGGTGGTCGTCTGGTCATTATGGCTATGAGGAGACAGAGACATACATAAGCAGGACAATTAAACAAAAATATTGTGGCTGTGACCTTACTGCTCCTTTGGCTGGACATATTGGGCCAAAACACAACTGTGAATTTTACATTTAGGACACATAGAATATATAAATAAATACATACATACATAAATATATATGTATGTATGTATGTATTCATATTATAATACTTTTATAAGCGATTACATCCGTTCTTGTTCTAGGCTGCATAAATCTACATTTCAAGGGCCGTGTACTACCATATAAACCAGTGTTAGATATCCCACATTAGTTTATTTGATTTAAACTGAGTGCTCAGATAAAACTCCCCGCAAGTGGAACTTTTACAAGATCTTTGTAAACACCGGAACACAGATCCATTTGGATAGCATCTCAGTCCTTTAATTTGCATAAGCAAAAGCGAACAGGAACCAAACATCTCCCAAGCCTCCTGCAAGCAAGTGTAAATGATGGTCTTTCCTGGAGCAAAGAAACTCCCATTAATTTAGTTTGCCTTGGCTGCTAAAAATAGGCTCTTATGAAAGTCCATTTCATAAACTTTACGATTGCCACCCACTCTTGTGTCAGATCCGCTGATGTATTGCTGTGGAGGAGGGAGTGTGGATAACCGTAGGCCGCAGAGTAAACTTCGACCCCGTTTACATGTGATTTGCCTGCGTGCAGTGAGTGGACTGAACCGGTGTCATCTGCACATGAAGTCACAGATTACGGTGTAAGGTCAGTGATGAATAACGCTTACTGGAAAACGAAACAACAAGTCCAAAAGGAAAGACTGAAGCCAGGCTTACACCCTTCTGTTTATTCAGATCTTAGACAGCAGGGTGGCAGGGAGAGCAGTGCTGCTTGACGCAGTGTTGTTCTCTTTTTTTACTGCAGTTTATCACTTAAAGGTTAAGCAGTTTATGCTGGAAAATTAAGGCTTTTAAGCCTCAATCTCAACACAAATACCCAACAGACGTACAATCAAAAGAAACAAAGTTAATCCTAAACTATTTACCTCCAAATATCAACGTTCGAATTAGGGACGCACCGATACCGGTCTCCTGTACTCGTACTCGTTCAAATGCCCCAATACCAAACGCCGATACCACACAGCATGTGATAAGCGCCATATTCAAACAAAGAAACACCAACAACAGAACAACAGACAGCAGAAAGGAGTTAAGGATGTTTACTACGAAGTATATGTATGCAATGGATATAATGTTAAACATTCAGTATTAACGCCTGTATAGCTGGTGTGCGCGAGCTGATAAACAAAGCACGCTGAGTGGATTGAGCGCGCGGCGGCGCAGATGCGCGAGCTTGTCGAGTGAATATATCTTTCTCACAGACATCACTGGAAAGTTTGTAGTTCGGTCGGATACGTCAAAAACAAGTAAGTAAAACAATGCACAAGTTACTTAACAGTGGGGGGGGGAGAGAGAGAGAGAGAGAGAGAGAGAGAGTCTGTTGTGTGATCTTTGATGTTCACTCACTTAGCACACGCATCATTTGGATTAAAACAAAATCGTAAAAATAAGACCATTTATAGGGGCATTCACTATAAACATCATTTATTTTCAACCTTAGGCATACATACCTTTCTGGCGAAAGTGAAACTAAAGGCAGGGTCAGTCATGGGTCTCCTCCCAGGAGGTTTCTTTCTCTCGCTGCCTGTTCCAACACACTGAAGTGTCAGGCTCTTTAACAATCTGGCGCCAGTTTTACAAAGCTTTCACCTGCTGGACAAAAGCTCAGACCAAGCTACGACCCAAAACCCTAAATGCTATTCACTTGTTTCTCTTTTCCTTCAGCTCTGCTCTCTTTGCCTATTTAAGACCGTTTTTGTTGCCCAAAAGTAAGATATGCATGCACTGAACTTATGCTTGGGCATCTTGACTAGTGATAGACCAATAAATCTATTTCGAGATTATTGGGATTGACTGATAAACATGTTTGATTGGCTAATAAATGTCACCGTCTCCTTGTGCCAGTTTCTAAATCTACTGACAGCCTTGTCAATAGATAAAAAGGGAAGATTGCTGACACGTCCCCCGCGTAATCTACACCCCTGGTACTAGCATTATATGGACCATCAGCCATCCTGAACTCTTGATATTGACATCAACTATTGAAAAACCCATGTTGTTTGGCCACTAGTCTTGATAGATATGTTGTTATATATCTTGATAGATGTTGTTATTAATATTTTATGTTCTTTGATTTCTACTATTTATGTACAGCACTTTGGTCCATTTTTATGGTTTTGATAGTGCTTTATAAATAAAGGTTGAGTTGAGTTGAGATATACAGCTGACCACTAGTCTACTGGAAGAGAAACCACAGGACAAAAAAAAAACAAAAAGCCCGGGAGGATGTTTGACCTTGTGGATAAATGAATTCTGCAGCTTTCTGACAGGTTTTGTTTGCAATACCGAATTGGCAAGACCCTTTCCCATCATAAACATTTTTTCTTGCCGTCACTTTCTCTTTGCCACCAATTAGTCACTATTCCACCATCACTGCCTTATGAGAGAGTGAGGGAGGGAGCAAGAATAACAAAAAGAGGAGAGAGAGAAAGAAAGAGACTGACTCAGCACTTCACCACCCCCTCTTCTCTAAGCTCCCTCTTGTTTATGCTTTACTGATCAAAGGATCTGCCAAAAACTGCCCCTCTCCCACCCACCTACCAGTAAGCCACCCTACCCCCAACCCACACACACTCCAGGAAAACAACCCAGGCCACAGCAGACGAACAGGGGGCCTCTTCACGAGGGAGGGCCAAATGACCGTCAAACACAAAGAAAAGGCCACAGAGGAGGAAAAGAAGGAGGAAAAAACGAGCACGGAAGCAATCCTTCAGAACTCCATTGGCTGAGTGGATGGCTGTGGTCCTGTTACACTTTATGTCACCCCGATCCTCCCCCTCCTATTGCGGCTGGAAACTATGACAGAGACACGGGTGGAGCGAGGGAGGGAGAGTCGGTGTGAGTTCATATTAATTGGAGCACAGGATGTCGAGTATTAAGATCTGCTCGGCGAGGGCAGACGCAGGCGCACTCACACAGGTGGGCTTTATTAGCCTGAGCGCTCTGCCCACACGGTGCCTTTTCCATGCAAAACACTGAACAACATGAATATTCTTTTAAGCTAGTGGTCAGTGAGTGAATATACATTTTTTTGAGAGTAGGGTCGATACATAATAAAAAAAAATATATAATTGATTACTTATAGTTACCTGTTGATAATATATATAATAAAATATAATACATATATGAAAACTTAATTCCGTTTTAAATCAAACTTTATCCCAAGTAAAAAGTGTGTCCATATTGGAGGGGGGGGGGTTGGCATATCACAGTTTCCACAAAAATAAAATATTAAGCAGCACAACTGTTTTCAACACTCACTCACAAAACACTGACGCTTGTTTAATTCAGTGTCACAATGATCCAGAACGAGAACTATTGACCGTAACCAACACAAATGACAGCTTACTTACAACGTGCTGTTTTCTGGCAGTGGTTTGAAGGCAAAAATCTGCAAACAAACTCCAGACACTGAATTCAAGCTAAAAGATTAGCTTTGTTCCAAAATCTAGTAAGACGACTCGCTTCCTACTGCCTACATAGGCAGCATCCTAAACATCATAAAAGAATGATTTGGAGTGCACTATATAGTGAGCAACTCTACAAAACACACAAATAGCTCTGTATGGAAGAATCACAAATGATGGCAGAGCTGCTAAGCTGATGACGCAAAATTAATAAGAAAAAATAATCAATTTAATGCATGCATGCTGAATAAAAGTATTAATTTCTTTAAAAAAAAATCTTCTGACACTTTTAAATGGTAGTGTAATTAAAACTAATTATTTTTAATTCAGTTTTAAAGAATGACCTCATGGCAATGCATTATGGGATTGCCGTCTTTGTGAAGGATCTCTTTGAAGGTAGCATAATTATGTTGCCTAGTTTCTGGAACAGATTTTATGTCTGTGAGGCTGCTGTCTATACAGGCAGTTCACTAGCTTTTGGAACAGAGCAAATGTGCTTTTGTAGTCAAAAGCACACAATCCAGTCTGGGTCAGAGCCCTACCATTGCGTCACTCTTGAGCGTCTGCTCATGCAATGTTCTCTCTGCTCTTCCAGCGCACACAAACACACTTCACAAATGAGGCAGACTGGCTTCCCTTTACTCAGCGGGAAAGTACCAGAAAAATGGGAGGACAGTCAAAAAGCAGCCAAGAGTAACAATAATGGTGAAATCCATATGCATTTAGTACTTTGCCCGTGATTTATTCATGATGCCAACCTGTATTTGATGAATAGAAGCATTAGAGATAGTCATTATCATAATATGTTGTGCCAATACATTACAGCTAATACGCTGAAAAAAAGGTTGTAAAAACAATTTTCACTCAGAAATTGCTAAAAATGTCACAAATAATTACAAAGAAATGGAAAGTAACACATTGAATTAAATATAAAATTATAAAAAATATTTTAAAATATATTAAAAAGTATAAAGATCACATTTTTCCTTGCAAAACACACCAATAAATCATTTTTGTTTCTTTTACAAGTTTTTTTTTTTTTTGCAGTAACAATAAGTGATTAGTTAAGTTCACTCATCAGTGCAGTTTAATGAGGCTGACTGCACATTCACACCAACAAACTAACACCTATGGCAACGGTATCCCACACTCCCACCAGAAAAACATCATCACCGCTCAGGGCCATTACAGATTGCTGGGGGCCACCAGCTGAGAGGCATTATTGAAGATTATAGGGCCAGAGATGGAGACAAAAGCGTAGACCGGATAGACGTCCGCTCAAGAGACCCCCACAAACACCCTCCAGAGCTTCAAACATCATCAGCCAGATGACTGCAACCTTTTTCTGGAGCTCTACTCCCCATCCCAGACTAAGCACTGAAAAGACAGACTGGGAGAATGACAAACAGACAAAGAAAGGTCTACAACCCTGGTA